CCTTCCCCTCCCCTCCCCTCCCTTCCCTCTCTCACCAAAAAAGAGACAAGAGCCAGAAGCTACTGAAGTCATAATCATTGCTTCCAGTACTTACTTGCTCCAAGTATATATCCACGCTGCCTCTTGAGGCTGTGCCGACAGAGGCCACTGCCAGGAATGGATGGACAGGGTGCCAGCTGATGTGGGAAGGAGATCCAGCCGAGTCTGGGGCTTCTATCCGGTGGTCAAAATAGAGGGCCATGATGAAACTCAGACCTAGTCAGGGCTGAAACCTGCAGGGGAGAAACAACCAAGTCCTGTGGGGTGTTTTTTTGTTTTTTTTTACAAAATGACTGTGTACAGAATCAGGAAAGAAAAGCATCATGGAACTATCACACACAAGACACTCAGTAACTTATAAATGTCCCTTCACACCGATTCAGGAGATTTTATGTGGAAGAGATCTCTAACAGGAAAAACAAAAATACAATGAGAAGCAAGGGGCTGGAACCGCAATGATCCAGAGGGTAATGGAAAGCAGTAAAACTTCTTGCCATCAGAACAGCAAAGAAAAGCCCTGCTGCCTGGACATGTAATCCTTGATCGTTTGTATTCCGATCATAATGCAGATAATTTCTATTTCTATAGTCCCCCTTTAGCAAAATTTTCAAGTCAAATAAAAGCAAACTGCTTCACAAAAGAGAAATGTATAGAAAAACCTAGTATTCAATTTCTGATAAAGCTTGAAAAACCAAGGCAGTCTTCACCTCCGACTCTCAGGTGGTAGAAGGCAAAAGGATTCCTTTGTTAGAGTGTCAAGAACAAACCCACAGCAACTGCAGAGAAGCTGAACTTCAATAGTTACAGGAACTCAACCCCTCCCTCCCTCCTCTCTTACTTGGAAAAGATGTGCATACTGTGCCTTTGAGGGAGGGCTAGAATGGTGAATGAAATGAAATGATACCCCTAACCGGTTTGGCTCAGTGGATAGAGCGTCGGCCTGCAGACTGAAGGGTCCCAGGTTCGATTCAAGTCAAGGGCATGTACCTTGGTTGCAGGCACATCCCCAGTAGGGGGTGTGCAGGAGGCAGCAGATCAATGTTTCTAACTCTCTATCCCTCTCCCTTCCTCGCTATAAAAAAATCAATAAAATACACATTTTTTAAAAAAGAAATGAAATGATAGTCAGACTTCTGCCCAATTTTTCATACCACAGAGTCAGTTTGGGGAAGCTAATTAGTGGAGAAGAGACTATGTGTAGAGTGGTTTGCTATCACTTAAACTTATTCAACTTCATACTCATTAAGATGGCTATTATCCAAAAAAATAGAAAATAAGTGCTGGTGGGGCCCTAACCGGTTTGGCTCAGTGGACTGAGCACTGGCCTGCGGGTTCGATTCCGGTCAAGGGCATGTACCTTGGTTGTGGGCACATTCCCAGTGGGAGGTGTGCAGGAAGCAGCTGATTGATGTTTCTAACTCTCTATCCCTCTCTCTTCCTCTCTGTAAAAAAATCAATAAAATATGTTTAAAAAAAGAGAAGTGTTGGTGGGGATGTGGAGAAATTGGAACCCGGTTGCATTGCTGGTGGGATGTAAAATAGTGCAGTCACGATGGAAAACAGTATGGTGGTTCCTTAAACATTAAACACGGACTTACCATATGATTAGGTAATTCCAGTTTATATGATATTATTTATATACACAAATAATTGAGAAAAGCAGGGACTTGAACAGATATTTGTACATAAATATTCATAGCAGCATTTTTCACAGTAGCCAAGAGAGGGAAACAAGCCAAATGCCTATCAACAGATGAATGATTACACAAATTCCGTTTTCAATGGAGTATCATCCAGCCTTAAAAAGGAATGAAATTATGACACATTAAAACATGCAAGAACCTAGAAGACATTAAGCTGAGTGAAATAAGCCACACACAAAAGAGCAAACAATGTATGATTCCACTTACAGGAGGTACCTAGAGTAGTCAAATTCAGAGACAGAAAGTGGGTTGGTGGGTGCCAGGGCCCGCTGGGACTGGGGCTGGGGCTGAGGTGGAAGGGGGCAGCTGTTTAATGTGTACAGGGTTTCAGTTTGGGAAGATGGAAAAAAGTTCTGGAGATGATGGTGGTGATGGTTGTACGACAACGTGAAGGCACTTCATGCCACTGAACTGTATACTTAAAAAGGGTTAAGTTTTACATTGTGCATATTTAACCACAACAAAAAATTATGCACAATAAGTATTCAACACCTGCAAAATGCTGTCAGTCTATCATTACAGGGGATGGACTATGACATGTGCTTTTAGTAAAGCCACAGTTGCATCCGAGGAAGCCGCAAAAGCTCAGTTTGGATCCAGAGAAGGAAACCCCTTCATTAAGAAGTTGGAAAGCATATGGGTATAAATGAACCGTCACATTTCAAACGTTTACCTTTTTGTTATGAATATGGACCCTGAAAACTAAACAAAGGCAACATTTTCGAGGTTGTGCTCTCACCATCACAAACTGCTGAGCACTTCTTCAGGGCTCCTGAGGGAGCAGCCAGGCACTGGTTGGAGGAGCTGTGGGTGCCGTGGTGGGCAAATTGCGGCTTGCGAGCCACATGTGGCTCTTTGGCCCCTTGGGTGTGGCTCTTCCTAAGCCTTAGGAGTACCCTAATTAAGTTAATAACAATGTACCTACCTATATAGTGTAAGTTTAAAAAATTAGGCTCTCAAGAGAAATTTCAATCGTTGTACTGTTGCTATTTGGCTCTGTTGACTAATGAGTTTGCCGACCACTGGGCTGGGGGGATTGGAGTCAGGAGAAGGGGCAGGTGCAGGGGTCTCCCGCACACACACATCACTAAGGACATCTATACTGGTCGGGGCTCTGATTTCTTTGAGTCCAGTCCTTATGCAAACCTTCAAACAAAGCTATTAAAAATGAAAATACACCAGATAAATACCTGGTGATTTAATATAGCAAAGGAAACCCTTTAAAGTGAGTTTTAATATGTTGCAGCCAGCCAAGTGTCTAAATTCTGGACTATGGGAAATTCCTATTCATGCTTAACAAATTTACTTTGTGAAAATATTCCTCTGCAAAATGTGAAATGTTAATTTGTTGTAATGATGGAGAAAGAATTATAATAGCACTTGAAAAATTTAAACCTGATTTCCTCAGATTTGAAATAGTTTTTATTTCCAAATCACTTTGTAGTAAGTATGTATGCAAACAGATCTTTACATTACTCGTTCCCTCCTGCCCGTGGCTTTCCCAGGGACTCTCTCCCTGACACTCCTCCTCTGGGTACTCAGGAAGCCTCTCTTCCTCCAGGGAGCTCTCCGTCTTGATTTCTAGTGTCCCCATAAAACCCGGTACTTCTCTTTTAAAGTATATTTTTATTGATTTCAGAGAGGAAGGGAGAGGGGGAGAGAGAGAGAGAGAAACATCAATGATGAGAATCATTGGCTGGCTACCTCCTGCACGCCCCCTACTGAGGATCAAGCCTGCAACTCTGGCCTGTGCCCTGACAGGGAATCAAACTGTGACCTCCTGGTTCATAGGTCCACGCCAACCACTGAGCCATGCTGGCCTGGCAGAACCCTGTACTCCATCGCTGTACTTAGACTTTATTATAAATGTGTATTTGGTCAACCATCCTCCACTCCCTGCCAGGTATCTATCCCACAGAGTGGGAGGCTGCTGGAGCAGCACCAGGCCCTAGAACAGTGCCTTGCACAGAATAGGCCCCCAATAAGTGAATCCCTGATGAAGATATTTATTAGCAAAGAAAGATGTCTTTGATGTTGTGTTAGCTGTAAAAATTGGTTTACAGGCCAGACTGAGTGAGTCCATTTATACAATGCATAAATGCACTTTAACATTTTCCTACAGTATCATCTGCATAATTACAAGTTACCAGAGTAAACACAAGGAGAAATGAGTAATAATAAAATCATTGCCCATGACGTCTATTAATTGCACCAGTTCAAAAACAAGTGAACTTTTCCTTAAAACAAACTCAGGGTCACTAGAACATTAAAAGCATTTGGTAAATATATATACACTTTGGGGGAAAGAAAAAATTCCATTAGTTCTAATCAATGAACTCCTCTAGGTTCCAGCCGTCCAACATCTCGACCACCTCCATCAAACCAACTTTTGGGAAAGAATATGTTAAGCTCATTCAAGGGAGGGGTTCGTGGTATTAAGGTTAATGTAAATTACTTTACTGCTTGGAGATGCTGCAGGAGAGAACCTGAAGGAACTTGGGGAAATAGAGCTGAGTGGACGAGTGTGGGGGGTAGATATTAGTGCCCCTTCACAAACTCCCAGCCTCTAGGCCACAGCCCGCAGGCTTGGGGACATGCAGGGTCAGAACTGTATCTTGGGAATACGAAGGAGAGCCTTCCCTGGCTGGGACCGTTCGCCCAGAAAGGTACTTCTTATTCTCTCCCTGCCCGCGGACACAAGTACTCTGCCAGCGTCCGCCACCAACCCACCCGGTCAGCTCCCCGGGGATCGCACGGCCACGCGACCCTCAATAGAACCCGGACTACGACTGAGGAGGCCATAAGCCCCTAGCCTGGGGCCGCGGGAGATCCGCGGAGACCGGATTTCCGGACGAAAACAACTTGGGATGGCGATGGACCCGACTGGCTCGCCTGGTCGTCGCCCTCCTCCCGGCCCCGCACCCCCGACACCACCCGAGTCCGTCCCCGGTCCCGCTTCTTCGTCGCCCGCCTCGGGGCTCCCGCCTCCTGATCCCTCACTTCCCCGACCCCAGCTCCCTCGGACCGCTCTCACCTCTCTCGGCCCCGGCGCCGCCGCGCGTTGCTAGGACTACGGCTGCTCGCGGAACGCGGAAACAGCCGAAGTGAGTGACTAGGAGGCCGAGGGCGCCCGAAGCGCCACGAGAGGCCGGAAAGAACCGAAGATAATCGGGAACGTTCGTGCGGAGGGTTAGATTGCCAAGCAGGTTTCCGCGGGCGGCGAGCTCCACGGTCTTACCGGGCAGTTTCCCCCCATCCCAGCCACGGTCGGGAATCAACAACGCTAGCTCGCAAAGTGGGGCCAAGAGGCCAGGGTATGCCATCCTGCGCAGAGAAGGGAGCTGGCGAAATTCTTCTAGGGGTGATGGCGATGCAAACCTGTTGGGATTCGCTCCTGTAGTTACACCTTTTCAACCGCTTAGGTTTGTCAGAAGGTGGAGGAAGGCAACAGACTGTGGGGGAGAAACGGAACGCCATCTTCTTTAAGAGCGCTCTCTTGCCGAAACCGGTTTGGCTCAGTGGATGGAGCGTCGGCCTACGGACTGAAAGGTCCCAGGTTCGATTCCGGTCAAGGGCATGTACCTGGGTTGCAGGCACTTCCCCAGTGGGGGATGTGCAGGAGGCAGCTGATCGATGTTTCTCTCTCATTGATGTTTCTAACTCTCTATCTCTCTCCCTTCCTCTCTGTAAAAAAATCAATAAAGTATATTTTTTTAAAAAAAGAGCGCTCTCTTGTTAGTCTTATTGCTGGGTCTTCTGGACCCCAGACCGTTTCTAGGTTCTGCTTTGTCTGATCTTAAGAGGTGGTTCAAAAGTATTCCTGAGAAAAGCCAATTGACTCGACATACTTCCTTGAAGTTACTAATTTATCACGTGCATTCAATGCCTTGGGAGCAAATGGAAGCCTTTGGCGAGAAAATGTTAGCCAAGGATACGGGTTCATCCCATTAGAAACGAACCTGATTCATGGAGACAGACTGCATCCCCAAAGGTATTAACAACTGCGCTCTGACCTTATGGTTTGAAAAACAAAGCAATGTCGTCATTAAAAAAAATAGTCACTAGGGCAAAAAGAAATTTTAAACAAATGAAAAGAAAAAGTGTAGATACCACTGGATGAGATGGGATAAGCGTCTCCAAGGAAGACTCCGAAGTTTATATTTTTTTAAAACCCACTTTCATATACAGAATATTTTTGTGTGTCTACGTAGGTGCCTTATGAACATTTTTTATTTTTCCATTTTTATTGAATATATTGGGGTGGCACTGGTTAACAAAACTATACAGAGTTCAGGTGCACAATTCTACAACACATCTGTGCACTCTATTGTGTGTTCACTACCCAAGTCTCACTTCACCACAATTTACCCCTCTATATCTCCCTCCATCTCCGCCACCACCCCAGAATTTTTAAGGAATAAATTTGTGTAAATTTAAGGTATATAGCGATGTTGTTTCAATGCACTTAGATATTGTAATATGATTGCTCACATAGCTTATTTATCACATTACTAATTGTAGTACATTATTGTGTGTATTTATTATACTGTGCATTTGACCTCTGGCTTATTTACTACTCCCTACAAGTTTATCCTTCAACATTACTCTTATCCCACCCATAAACACTAGAATTTTAAAAACACTCCTTTATTTCCCTAATGAAGAAAAAGGGCCTAAGTGCCCAGCACTATGTGTTTGCCAAAAAAAGTTAAAAAGCACACACCCAACCCAATAAAGGGTGTATTTATCCGCCTCGGTTGCACTTCCACACTTCTTTCGCGCGGGATTCAACTCTCGGCGCTGAGGCGGCGTTTTCTTCTCACGCATCCGTCATACGGCCTTAACCAATCACAGCCAGGCACTGATTCTATTGGCTGTCGCCCGACCAATCCGAGGAGACGCACCAGCCTGCAAAGCCGCAAGACGGCGTCACAACATTACCCGCGTCGCAGACAACACCCTCTCGCCCCCGCCTAGCGTCGTGCGTGCAAGCAAGCGCGCCACAGATGGCCAATGGAAGCGCCCTTAGGGGGGGCGCGCTCGCTGAAAACTTCGGACGTGCTCGTCTCCGCGCGCTTCGCCCCTCCTCTCCCCGAGCGCCCGCCGCCTTTGTCCCGCCCCGCGCTCCGCCCTTGCGGTCTCCTTCGGCCGCCGTAGCCGGAACTGCTGCTGTGCGCGGCTGGCCGGGTCTAAGGGAGGCTGAGCGGCGGTAGCCTTGGCTCCCGCAGCCCAGTCAGCCGCACCCCGGCCGCGGAGAGGACGTGCCGGGGCAGGCGTTGCTGGTCGACTGTTTCCGAAGCGGGTGCACCATCCCGGCGTAGCGGTCTTGCTGCATTCGGGGCCCGGGGCTGCCCGGCCCGGCCGGATCTACGGGCACCCGGGAGGCTCCCGGAGGGCCCGGGAAGCCAGGCTGCTGCGGGGCATTGATGAACAAGGTGACCGGAGGCTGGGGCTCGAAAGGGGTAGGCCGCCTCGACCGGCTGTCATGGCGATACCGGGCTCCCTGCTTAGGTGGGGGCTGCGGAGGAGCGGCCTGCTCCCTTGCCGCCGTAGTTACGCACGCGGTGCTTTGTCGGAGCGACTCCGGGGAGTCCGGATCGAGAAGTGTAGCCTTGACGGTGCGCTTTGTGTGCAGCCAGAAATCGGCTGGAGAAAGGAGGGCTTTGCTTTTTCCTTCCAGAAACGTGACAAAAGGCGTCGAGCTTAGATTGGGCTTGAGGCCATTCCATCTCTGTGCACGTTCAGGAAGTAATGGAGGTTTTCCTTTAAAGGTTATCATCCTCCTGTTTTTCCTTTAGCCGTAGGGGAAACCTCAGGAATGTGTCAGTATCCTTTAAATCCTGAAAAGCGCCCTGTCCTTCTGTGTTCAGTGTAGTGTCTAACATTCAACCTGGCCAACAGGCAAGCTTATTCTGTTGTGGTTGGTCTCTGCCGTGCCTGAGCCCTGGGTTGACTGTGGGTGGCTTTGGGATGAAAGGCCCCTGGGAAGTAGGATTCTCCACATTATACACCAGGGAAAGGCCCTTCTAGATACGTTCAGATTCCTTAAGTATAAATAGATGGGTTGAGAAATGAATACTGAGAAGCCCTGTACAATGAAATGCTTTAAGTTTGGCTGTTTGTCTTGTGTAGTTCTGTTCGTTGGCAGGGTGTTTTGTGTTGCGTGTTGTTGTTGTTTTGAACCAGCAAGAATTCAAATGATTTATAAGATCAGTTACAACAGATGAAAGCTGTTTAGAGATCACTCTGTGACAGAAGACATCAGAGCAGTAGTAGGTATTACTCTGATTTTTACTCATTTCCAAACCTTGCCCTCAGAGGTCCTTGCCCCTGTTCCTGTATTTTGTTGTTCACCTCGATGCCTTGTTCTTGTTTTCCTTTTAAATGGAGAATGTTCCTGTCCTTAGCAGTTGTGTTCCGTTTGTCTAACACAGTTTGGGCATAGCATCGACACCTGTTGAGGAATCTGATTATCTTTCTTGCTTCATCGCAAGTACACATTATTTCCCAGCTTATAATGGTTGTAGGGACCAGATTCTCTCCGTGTATTTTTGAGTGTGTCTGTCTTCTGGGTTGCTTTTTTAGAGCCATCGCATTTTATTGTTGTGGACATTTCACACAGCAGTGGGTAACAACGTTAATGCAAGAATTTCATTAATGGTTGCCAAGAGTTTTCACACCATTGTCTTCCACCCATTCTTGCATTTGGACCTGGACATACCGTGCCATCCCTTTCACGGGTGGCTCCAACGTGTTCCATGCAACAGGCTTCTTTGTTGCAAAAAAACAACAACACCATTTTAAATTCCTAAATCCCCGCAGCAGCACACATCTCCCACCCTGGGAAGCATGATTCCCAGAAACCCCGAGCTTATTATTCTTTATGTCTGTTTAAAAATAAGCAGGCGGACGGGCCGCCGGGCCACTATGGAGTTCCCTGTGCACACTGGCGAGCCGGCACCTCTCCCCTGCCGGGGTGGATCCCGGCTCCTCGCTCCCGCTCCAGGGCCAACTTCGGGGTATCTGGGGACCTTGATGAGACACCAAGCCCAGAACTCTAAGTACATGTCTAAGATTGTGTGAAATGATCCGTGTTTTTGGCAAACAGTGGGATCATATGTGATAAGACCTTCCAGTCATAGGTTCCTATATGTTCAAATGCTTAGAGTGAAGGCTGAGTTCATTCAGGAACCAACTGGTGTACTTTAAAAAAACATGTTTTTATTGATTCCACAGACAAGGGAGGAGGAGAGGGAAATAGAAAATCAATGCTCAGAGA